GTGATGATGCTCTTCCACATTTTGTATCTGGTCCTGAGGATCATGAATCTTTTAGGGGAAATGGTTTCTGGGGATGTCACTTATGGCTAATTTGGTTCAGGCTGGTACTGATGATGATACTTGACTGTTGCAGTCCGTCAGTGAGTGCAGGAGACAGGAGGCAGCGGGGTGTGAAAGAGAACATCTTGTGGCCGAGCGACGTTTCTTCAGGCGGTTTTTCCTCTAATATTTTGGTCTCCTCTATTTCTTTCATTCATTTTTGAATTCCAGCCCAGCCTTAGGGATGTACTTACTGTTTAAATGTGGCTGCATTAGTTAGTATTAATTCAATACTTCAATACTAATGAAGCTGGAAGGTTCTGACAGAACAGAAGAACCAAGATGAGAACATCCTCTGTTAACGTAGGATCACAAAGGTTTATTTTTAATATAAGCCTTCGTTTCAAACCCATCAGACTTTCCAACAACACTCTGTCTTTAAACAGACAGTCTTCTCTCTCCGGCTCATTACTGAGACGGCACAATTTCCTTGTTGTCTTAACAACAGCACAGACACCCCACAGTTAGCAGCTAGTTGTTTTATTTGTCTCTCTTACTTCTTTACGTCCTAAGAAATCACATTATCACCGCTGACACACAACCAGACATTAAAGAGGAGATCAGGTTGACACCGAGCACGGAGCTCTTCACCCTCCACGCCAACAGAGTGACCTGGGAGTGACCTGGGAGTGACCTGGGAGTGACCTGGGAGTGACCTGGGAGTGACCTGGGAGTGACCTGTCCAAACTGTGACCCAGAGGTTTTTGTAAAACAGTAAGAAATATCGTTTTTTCAGCACTGATTCTTCTCCATCCATTTGTTTCTGACTAAATGAGTCTGCCTTAGAAGTAAATCTTTGGCCGTGTGTGTGTTTGTAAAAACTCCCAGAATTTAGTTTGGTTAAATGTTTCTTCCTGGGATTCTATTCAGAGAATTATGTTTGGAAACATCACAACTTTTAACAAAACCCTCAACAACAACACTCCAAGGATTCTTTTGAGGAAATTATTTGACTCAGTGAATTAGAATCCTGATGAACTGGTGTTTGATGATGTCACTGCCGACTCTCTGGGTGATTCTGGTTCCTCTGTCAACCCAGTGACCTGGGTTTGGTTCAGTTTCTCATCACTTCCCTCTCATTTCCCACTAATGACTTTTTTTTACTTTAAATTCTTTCCAGTCCAGTTTGTTTCGATGAAACACGGGTGGATGAGCTACGATCTAAAAGTATACGTTACTGTTTGATGAGACACCTAGTGGCCATGATTCACACCTGACTCACGTCTGTCCATGATGAAACCTTGAGCCCAACATGAAGGACAACAGTCAGTATAACTCGTGTCCTCAGTCCACTCCACATCAAGTGTGTCTTGACCTTTGACTTTATTCTATAGGTGCCTTTTCTCCACGACAGCGAGGCAGACATAAAAGGTCAAGGTTGAGTTTCCTACTTTTTTCACGACAGCTTTAGGAGACATGATTCATTTATCCTTCAATAAAAACAAAGTGTTTTTTGTTTTGTGTAATTTCACTCACAAATAAAATGAAATAATTCACGCTCCAGTAATTATGCACAATGTGCTAAAAACAAAAATGATGGACGTGGAGTTTCATCTCACATGATCAAAGAGCGCTGACAAACTGTAATTTACAACATGGCAGGTGGTAATAGAGAACAAGGCAAATTATGGAGTGGAGCTCAGTCGAGTTCTGGATCAGAGACTGTAATTAACAGCAGAACCGTCATCAGAACCCAACATGAAGATGGTTCCATTTCAGTTCTTAATGTATTTACTTTTAATTACAATTGTGTGGGTTTTGGAAACACACAAACCTGTTGTTGTAAAACGATTTTGTTTCACAGCAGTTTGTTGAGTCGCCTTCAAGAATTCTTTCATTACATAGAAAAAAAAAAACACTAGAACTGGGAAAAACAGCGCGGAATTCCAGGAAGAGACGCAGACGTGTGGCAGAGATTTGGTTCAAGATAAAAAGTCCTTTATTTGTCCCACCGTCGCCGTTGTGAGACAAAATAGGTGTGTTTGTGTTTGTGTGTTTATGAGGCCATTAACACACACACACAGCAGTGAAAGAGAGGTCAGAGGTCATGTGTTCCCATGTGTGAACGACAGTGTGAACGACAGAGTGAACGACAGAGTGAACGACCGGTTCAGTGGATCAGTGGAGACCACCTGCTAAACTTCACATTTGTCTCTGTTTAAAAAGCAGAGTAAGTGAGAATAATGGTGCAGTGTGTGTGTGTGTGTGTGTGTCTGTAGTGGAGCGTCTGCTCACAGACGGTGCCTTTGTGTGTCTGTTAGCAGCAGCACTTCAATAAAATGCCTCTGTTTTCAAGTGTGTTGAAGAGCATAATGAGAGACTGTGTTCAGGCCATAAAAATGGATGAGTGAAAGCCTCCAGTGATGAAGGCTCTGGTCTACTGTCATACCAGGAGTCACCAACAGGGGCGGGGCTTCCAGGACGGTTGGCCAATCACTTACTCTCACTACACTAAGTTTCAACTTTGAGTGTGTTTGACTTGTCAGCCATGGGAGGGGCAGTGGGGTGAGGGTGAGGGTGAGGGTGAGGGTGGTGGGAGTGACTTAGAGAGTGTGGACACACTGCAGTGTTAAACTCTGGCTGTTTAATCCTATGAACTCCATCCAGTGTGAAAGCTTCTAAATACATCAACTCCATTGGTCGAATTCCAAAACCCACAGCAAACATGACAAACATCAGTGAAACTTTCAGCCTGATTGAAAAACTTCCTCCGTTCACGAGTGTTTTTGTTTCTCCAGTCTCTCCTGACTCGACACCATCGACCACTGACACTGACACAGCGTTAGAATCTCTTGGGTTTGTTGTTACCACAGTGACAAATGTGCTG